CAGCATTTTATTCCACCATTTATATTTTGATGGCGGTCATTTTGGGAGCAATGCTACCTTCCAGAAAGTTAGCGCTAATTATTGGTGGAAGGGCATCTCTAAGGATGTCGAACTTTACTGTAAGAAATGTGAAGTGTGCCTAAGGAGTAACCCTCTCAGTGGCCCTGCCAGGGGTGAATTACATCCAATAAGAGTCTCACCAAAGCTATTTCAGCGTTGAGTTGATCAAGTCGGTTCTCTGAAAGAGACTCTCCAAGGGCATAAGTAAGTCTGCGTTTTCACTGAGTACTTGAATGGGTAAGTACCTAGAAATTCTATTTATATACAATAAATTAAGAAAAGTAAGCCTATTAAGTAAGCCTACCAAAATGGTATGTCGTTCATGCTCCAACTGGTAACAGCTGGAAATCCCACTTATAGTAAGTGGCTGAGATCATAGCCGAAGCGAACGAATCCTCATTAAATGGATGAGCGATCAAATCTGCTAGCGTCATCTTTCGTCAAATCTACTAGTGAGCCAAATCTGTTTCTGATGCCGTGACGAAAGTTATCTCGACTTTTGACATCGTGGACGTACTGATGTACTGGTATGAGCGAGGGCGGGAGTTCACCAACGAACTGAACTTGTGTTCATGCTTTCGATGGATCTGTTGAATAGGTGTGTCTACTTCCTCCATACGGGATTAACTTAAAATTTCATCGATGGGGATTTTGCCCATTGACCATTGATTGGGTTGACAGACGATAAGCTTTGCATTGTATGTAGAAGACACCCCACTTAGGGAGAGTTTCGCTAAAACCCACGAGAAAAGCTGAAGTTGCAGGGAGGAAAGGATCTACCGCGGGGGGAAAGAAAATACTGCCCTCCGTCAGGTATATTTCTTTCCGGGGGGAAAGAATACACCGTGACACCAGCCCTGCCCCGGGGGGTCTGAATTTTGAACTGCCACCTAGTCTATGACCATCCCCGGACCAAATGGGGAAACCATGCAATGTTTGGACGGATTGGTATCAGAGACGTGGCCGTGCCTAAAGGACACACACACAAACGTTCTGAAATATAATAGTAATAGATTATGACAATACTAAGTATATAAATATTATTATTATTTCATAACAAATGCGCAGATTAAACAATTCTCGCACAAAGCCAGTAATGACGGGGTCTCATATTGAAAGGGCAAGGAAGCGGAGAAAATTCTTTCCACTTTTCACAGCGATTCTTATTATTAATGCTCATTGATTCTTACTGCCCATTGAAAATTCTTCGCTTCCCATATGAGGTCACCAAACCACGATCAGGCAGCCACGAACTTCATTAATTTACTACTTTATTAATGGATCTTCATGACCTGTCCCCGGGTTATTTCGCGCTGAGTTTTCTCCCCTGCAAAGACATAATGATGAAAATCTAATTTCTCGTCGTCAGCACTTGCGATTTTTGATGACGTTATCGGACGGCACAGTCACGAATTCCCAGACAGGATTGTTCAGAATCTGGTTGAAAGATCCCTAGGCTTCCTTTCCTAGGTCTAAGTACAGCTGCAATTCAAATCCTTTTTTTTTCTTTATCCTTTCAGACCTGGAGGGACTTCTGACTTTAAGAATTTGTTTTTTACGTTATTTATCTTTTAAATTCTGGTCTGGAAGAGCAAGAGCCGAGTGTGCGCATAATTCATGCTGTCTCACTGATGAAATCGAACCAAAGGTGTACTTTGGCTGGAGGGTTGGGGAAGGGGGGGGGGGGGGAGGGGGCAGCTGCCCCCCTGCCCCCTTGTAAAATACGCGACTGAACCGAACTGATGCACACATGAATGCGTTTGTCCTTGTGAATCATTAAACGCATATCATGAGTTTTAATTCTGATAACGACATCTCGAACAAAGGAAATGTACCTTAATTAACGGTAAATTTTTTTGATGTCATAAATGACCTTTAGATGTTCTTTCGTTCCTGAAATATCTTGTACAGTTCTCTCTCCATTTCTACTCTGACTGATAAGGGCGAATGGTTTTATTTTGGCAGCACCCTCTCACCGATCGATATTTTTCATATATGAATTACTGCTGAGTTGCGAATGAGTAACGCTTTTGAGTAATGATAGGTGACGTTGATGCAAATGAATTATGCAGGGCGTTCCGCTTAAAAGCAATTTTGCAAACAAGTCAGCCAGAAGAAAGCTAGTTATTCCATCTTCTCTTGGAAGCCGTCTGCCCCCATAGTTGCGACAGTTTGTTGCGGCACCGAGGGAAAGGTTCAAGGACTCACGAGGTCATGACTTATGCAGTCATGATTCACGTAGCGGCCCGCAGGGTACTTCCAGAACGGTACGCGTTCGTGTTTCTCGAAGAGCAGGAAACAGTCAGTGCTTTGAGCAAAGCGGTTTTCATCGCAGCAGCGGATAATTATTGTAGACGGTTACATCGAAAACGAATCTTACAAAATTTGCTGTAAGAATATCGCGGAAAGTACCAAACTGAGCACTTCATGCGACCACGAATGGAGGGCAGCCCCGCGTCGGTCGACGCGTCGATCGTCTCAAAAGTCTGGGGTTTCCAGGACGACACGCAAAAGGATTTCAAATTCTTTCGAACGACCGTTTACAAAATCACTCTCGAAGTTTCCTCATCCCGCTTGAGTCTTAAGGCTATTTTTTTGCAGTACCACAGCAAACTATAGGAACTATTGCGAAAGACAGCCTGTTACAGCCAAGAAGATGGAACGACTTGCTTCCTCCTCGATCTCAGGTGATGCCACATGCCTTTTCTCCTGAGACATGCGAAAACATTTTTCCTTTCCAGTCATAGGGCGACCTTGTCGACCCAGCCGATGAGTACGCAGACAGTACTGACAATGTTGACAATAAATTGATGAGGGGTGGATTACCGGTGCTTTTCAAAGGCCAAGCTAATGTTAATTAAACCGCACCGTACTGTGGAATTTTTGCACTGCAATCGCCATTTCTCTTCTACGCTAATGAATGACCCTCGCCTTTCCTCAATGCGAAGGACGAAGTCTCCATCGTCGACATGACTAAAAGTCCAGCCGACATTATCGAAACAGCGAGAGGTTCGGAACCTGGCGATTGGGTTTCTCAATATTTGAATTGCAGACATTTGAATGCAAGAAATCTTTGTCTTTTCTGAATGCCTCGATGAGATGTTTCGAGTTCCTTCAAGAAGCAAGATCAGTTAAATGAAAATTGAGTATGCAGTAAGAGTTTCATAAAATGGTTTATTAACTTGGATTAATCCTATAGTTGGATATAGATAAGTACGTCATGCAGGACCATGCATCTGCTAATTATGATTTCTGCAACGAATGAAACTATATACCAGAATTCAGCAGATCTTCATTGGCATCGAAGAGAGGAGACCACAGATCTTTTTAAAAAATTTAAAATCTGCCTAAATTTTATTTCCGACTTCTCCTTCAAACTTATGTAAACTTACATGCCTGAGATTTATGTTTTCAACGCAACTTCGCGGCAAGCTATACGTTGAATTAAAAAAAATTACTTTCCGTTCAAAGTTTAGTCATTTGCGGGTCATTTGATTTCAAGCATCCTGGATTTGAAAAATTATGTATGAGCCAATTCAGCATTTACAGGTATTTAAATTTGATTTTGGACGATGCCCGCTGAAGAAAAACATCTTGCAAAATGCTTCGGATTACCCCTGTTTCCTCACATTATGCAAATTTCGGTAATATCTGCTCGGCCATGCTTCTATGTTGATCAATTAGTACAGATTTCCCGATTTCTCCGAAATTTTCAAGCAATATTGGAAACAATATTGCGAGGTCATGTGCCACGTTCCAAAGCGCTTTTAGAGGTTCTTTCCTTCATTTCATCTTTTAACTTCGCATTCAAGCGAGTGTACCCATGTCTAAAGAATTTACGTGACTTCTGACGTTGCATAATATTAAGACTGTCGCAATTCTTCCTTAAATGTGATTGTTCAAAGAAAGAAGACTGTTTAGGACGGACTCCAAATTTCCGGTGTGTTTATTTTTTTAATTGTTCTCTAGTGGAATAAACGAGCAACTTTCTTTCAAATTATATCACATTCAAATGATTATATATAGTTGCTGATATTGTTTGAAGAAAGAAAGGATGTCCTCATATCTTAAAACCTTAATGAAAAAACCCTTCTATATTTGCAATGCTCATCTTGATCATGGCCAGATTTAAATGGTCATTAGCATATTAATTTGCCAAGTTTCGAATTCATTCGCTCTTTCCATCAGTGCAGCCAATATGGAAGTACTGACAGTGGTAGTTCCCTGAATATTAATATGGAAAATTTGTATTTAAAATTTTTTTAACTGCTTGTCAGAACCGGCAAAAGCTGGAAAGAAAATCAGATTTGAAATGAGGAAGGCGTCGGAATTCCTGGAAAAGAGAATTATTCGGTCAATGGAAATCGGATTGCGACGAATTCATTATTAACTTTAAGCAAACGCCCCTTTATTACGACTTCGCCCATTATAATTCCCATTAAAAGCGTTCTGTTTGAGTGTGAGGAATTATGAAATCTTCGTAATCCGGATGGGCAGAGCCATTCGAGTGGAAAGACATGGATCAGGAAGAATGAAAATTGGCAGTGATAATTTTTTCGAGTGATGTTTTGCAGTTCAACTCGTCATGAGTCTGTTTCATGTACGTATCTTGTCAATTGCTGGATCAATTTGGCGCTTCAGTTGCGGCAAGGGCCGACATCTAAATTCAAGTAGCGTTTTGATATTTTTGACTGAAACTATGAAGCTCTTGATATTCCCGATGGTGTCGATCGTTGTGTGGACCCGATATGTTTTGAATGTGGATCCTGTCTCCAATTCCAAGATGGGGAATGTGAAGTGAGGAGACGGGGAAAGTCCTTCAGAGGGAGTCGTTTCTTAAACCCGAGACCGAAAGCGGGAAAATCCCTTTGATATCAGTTTCTCCTGTAGTTCTTGGAATAAGATTCAATTTGATGGAGAGTTGAGTGAACGATGTCAGAAGCTCCGATATTTTTTAATGCCCGAAGAATATCGAGTCCCCCATTAAATGAACTGGTAAAAAAAAATAACATGCAACACAAAATTGAAGAGTCACACTTCCTCCATTTTCTTCCTCAAGGTTTTCGCGCGTTCCTGGTAGTGGATTAGGCCGTCCTTGCAGGCCTTCGCCAGGACGAGGTTAATGACTGACGCAGGGACGAATGCGAGATGGACGTCCACGTGATTGATCCACTGGATTAGTGTCTTATCGGGATGGCCAGGCAGCGGAGAATAAACGAATCCTTGAGGGAAGAACGTCGCCCTGTAGGACAAGAAATAAAATTTTTTGTGACTTCCTTGTTTTCAGAGGTTTCGGATTAAAACTTTTGTACGAAACAGTGAAGGAAGATTCAGGATAGGTATGCTATGGAAATAAAAAAAAAACCTACAATGGCATGATTAACTCCATAGCATTGCGTTAGTTAAAGAAAGGAATTGTTTCATGGGCGAGAGCGGGAAATGCAAACAGATAACTCTCGAATGAAGTTATGCATATGGTACCACCACCACCACCACCACCACAACTTTTGACCTCTTCGAATTAAAGTATTAGATATACAGTTATACAAGGTGTCCCAAAAGTCCCTATTCATTTTGTTGAAATAGGCTGAATGTGCAGGAACGTGTTATGGTAGTAACTTGTCGCATCAGAGGAACGAAATGCGAGATAAGAGACAAATTCACAAGAAAATTTCATAAACCTTGACAACCTGGATTCCCCTTTATTTACCTCGATATGCTTCAACAGTTTCTAGAACCCCAACTTCTTGAAGATGGTATTCTCGATGTAGTCCATCAGCAGGATGGGGCACCATGTCATTATGAATTGTTCAGACATACCTCAACAGGCGTTTTCCAAATCGTTTGATTGGACGTGGGGGGAAACAGGTATTGGGCACCGCGATCTCCGGATTTGACCCATATGAATTTCTTTCCATGGGGAAATAATTCAGAGGTTTATCGGAGAAAAATTCGAGATTTACCAGATCTGCGAGATCGCATTAGGCAGGCCGTTCAGAAAATAAACCCCGAAATGCTCGCAAAATGTGTTCCGCAATGCAGCAGACCGATTTGAGATTTTTAGAGATACTGATGGAGTGCACGTGGAAACTATTGAATAAAGATTATTACAGTGTATTTTTATTTCGGTCTGTAACAATACTTGTATTTTGTATGGAAATACATGTGTATTCAAGTCATTGAGCCATTTGTTTGAAATTCAGCCTATTTAAAAAAAATAGAAAGGGTATTTTTGGGACACACTGTATTTCAGAATTGCGTGTTGTTGAAGAGCACATTTCGCTTCATGTTCTTATCCATTCATTTGAACTTGTTCCTCATACGTTTTGAATACCAGACAATATCATATCTCCTTGTGACATCCCAGGTACATTATTTCCTGGGAAATGATCACAATATCAATAACGATGGATGTAATGGGGAATTACTCGTCCACTTGGATTTACTAAAGACATGGGGTTCTAGCTTCATCTTGTGGTGAATGGGCGCCTTGGGGATTGGCTATTTGAGATTGGAGGCAGAAACAACATGCTGTGTCTCAACTTTCGTTGAAAATGATAACTTTTGATTTACGACTGACTCTTACCGACTCCCTCTCTCCCGTTCTTGTTACAACGAAATGAAACTGCAACGAACCTGACATATTGACTAGACGGAGGAAATGCAGGCCAGGAGGAGCTGGAGAAGGTCATGTAGGTATTATTGCCTTCTTTGTCCCAATACATGATTGTCACAGCGTCTCTGCTCCAGATCAAGCCGTTTCCAACCGGAGATGACACCTTGTAAGTCAACTGGCATTGTGGCGTGATACGCTGAAAAAAATTAAGTTCCAGAAACATCCTCGGGACAGTAAAACGCGGGAAGTGATGCTGTCATTGAGGTCTCACAAGAATGACTTCCGTGTGAAGAAAGTTGGGATTCCACTTAGGGTAATCTGGTACGTGATCCCAGTCTTCCCTGAAGACCATGTCAGCAGGAACGTTCACCACCGTCTGAAATGCATAAAGCCATGTAAAAACGCAAATAACCTAGCAGACACAGCAACTATGACGTTTGGAAACTCTGGTCTGAGTACTGGAATGTTCAAGTTTGCTTATGTGACCTGAAGTGAAGGCTGGCATGAATAGAAAATGACCCGGTTGGTGAACTCAACGTCACATTTGAATTGAGCTTCAATTATGAGGTTCGTTTATGAGAACTATAATGCTGCTTTCTGATTTCTTACCTCTAAATGAAACATGGTGAGTCGACTATCTCTGTTGTAAGCACTTGCGATTTTGATCACGTCATCAGACAGCATAGTCATGGGCTCCCAGGCAGTATTTTGTAGAATCTGCTTGAAGGATTCGTAGGTTCTCTTTCCCTGCTCCAAGTATGGCTGCAGTTCGACCTGGGGAAGGATTCAGTTCTTTTTCATCCGAGAGTCTGCATAATTTTATCTCATTTTTTAAGCGATATCAGACTGATGCTTACGGGAATGTGTTTGTCTTCGAGCAGCAGTTGACTTCTGGATAAGCCATGGGATGCATCATTAGTCCGGATTTCTGATTAGTAAGGCAACCCAAAAAATAAAAGAGTTCATCCACATCTCGGGCGGGTAAGGATTCGATTGAAATTGATGAAGTTCTTGTGGAAAAACGGTACGCATTGTAAAAGGCACGTTTAAAAATTATTTTGGTTTCACCTCCTTTTTATATTCTTTCTTAAAATGACATTTGCTGAGTGAAATCGTAGAACTATTCTTTTAATCGGCTGTGCACTACCAATGACCCATGTGTTCTCCAAGTGATCATGAGAGAGTTTCGAATGTCTCAGTTTCATTCGCAACTTTCTAAACAATACACACTTTTTAAAACAAGAAGCTTGCTGGTGGGCATAAAATGATAAGACATTACTTATGACAATTTAATTCATCGATGCAATTTGGTGATTAACGAATAAAAATTTATTCCTCTCGTCCTTAGGAAATGTTTCTCAAGATACCTGGAAATACAGGTATTTCTTTTCCTTAAGGTGGATGATTCGTTTATTATTCGTTCAAGAGCTCAGGCAAGGAAACCAATCAAGGTCAATTAATTGTATTCGACGTTATTACGGTCTTTGACTGAGGCTATCTTCAATATGACCAACAAACTGAACCTGCTCAGTGGTGCAGAGGTTCTCGCAAGAATTTTAGGAATCCGAAGTCTAATCGCATTTTCATTGGAAATCCAGGGACAATAGTTTAATTTATAAATACTTCCTGTTTTATGTTCCTGAATTCCCCGTCCTATACATAAGACAATTGCATTTAGTTACACAGTTGAGTCCGAGAAGAGTGTGTTGTCGAATGAAACAGCGTAGTGAACTCGGCAAATGAATAATTTTTTTTTAAGAAGAAAGTTTATTTCATGAAAATAGGACGAAATCATAAATCTCTGATTTAATGCGCACTTTCGGCTTCATGGAATTTAAAGTCAAATTGAATAGCATTTTTCAAATAATGCCTAAATAGAACATCGTCATACAAGACTCAGTCTGATGAATTAGCATCCACTGACAAATAACTTCCTTTGCAACGAGTGAGACTAGAGACTTGCTAGACCAACTTAGATTGGAGCTCAATATCATGCACTTAAAATAAGAAATCTACATTGCGATGTGTATATTATATTCACAGTGGTTTCGAGAAATCAAGGAGACTTGGACTTGGAACTTGGTTTTTAAAGAAATTGTAAGCCATTGGAAAACCTAAATTGATATTGATTTCATGTATCTACTACACTTACTACTTCATTCAATATTTGAGACAAGCCTCATTACTATATTTACTGAAGTTGTGTTCTTCGTTTCTATGGTTCTTTATAGTTGGACGGTATACCCTGAACATGGTTTTGACTAAACTCTTATATGAAACTGAAACTGGCAGATGATGAAAGTAAGACATACGTTCTTATAATCTCTATAAAAGTACATGCTGTCAAAAACATTTGAATCTTCCTAGCCACTCTTTGCTATGTGACATTTATTTCAAAGCATTTTTAAGTAGGCTTCGACAACCATCGCAATATGCCATCGCAAACACATATCGAGCCATAGAATCCGCGATGCCACATTTCAAATCATGCCATCGCTAAACCACTCACCTCTGCCAGCGCTGATCACCTCCGTTGCTCTATCATTGAGTAGGAACTGGAGGGAGAAGTATAAGCTCCGAGAGAGGAGGTCAGTGATGAGTCCACGCCCCATTCTCAGATGAGCACTGGAGGGTTCCACTTCTCTCGAGCCTCCCCTCCCCTTGCACCGGATGTTCGTTTCAGATGACTAAGGTTCGAGCTATAATTAATTCGGCCCCTTACTGCTGATGGAAGAGGGGAATCACGAGAGGTATTCCTAGTCACATGTCCTTGGAAATGTCCAGGACCATTGAACCTTTTTCCAGTTCCGAATGATTCATGGTTAGCTCTTTCCCAAAGCCGAAACCGAAGCCAAAACCTAAATCATTGTCTGGAAGACCCTAAACCACCCTTGCACTCATACCCCATGAGGGGGATCCCACGTTTAACAGGCGAGAAGGTGGATCCCTCCTTTGAATGTCTTGTGACGGTGATTCTGGTGCATGCGAATTATACATGCAACCTTCTTTTTTCCTTAGATTCATGTTAAAAACTTGATTCCCCCTGTGGCACAACCAAACCACGATCATGCCGGCCACGAATTCAGGAAAACTTTTAGCGGTTGTCGTGTTTTTTCATGCAGTGACGCCATGTTTACTCACCTGTGAAAACCCATTGATGCAAGTTTCCTCGTTGTAAGCACTTGCGACTTTAATGATTTCATCGGACGGCACAGTAAAGGTTCACAGATACTATGGGAAAATGCAGGTATTGCGATTAGTCTGTACATTTTTCTTTCATGCCATTTGTAAGTAGTAACCATTGCGACCGGACAGCACGGCTCACTGCTCATATGCAGGTTTCCGGCTGGTTAGGGTTTTTCGTCTAACAAATAAATCATCCCCCATGCTTTTATTTTTCCATTAGTCTCTCATTGATCAATTTAAAAATTTTTAAGCATCGACAACTCCGAAGCATTTAAAAATGCTTCCGAGTTGTCGATGAGCAATGTTTGTGAGTAATGATGAGTAACGCTGATGCAGATTAATTATGTCTAGCTTCTTTTCGATTTCCTGGGATTTCGCTGAGCTAACGCTATTTAAGTTACACCGTCCTGTATGAATGTTACACTCTAATCGCAGTTTTCTCCTCGAAACTAATGAATGGCCTTCGTCATTCCCCAAGGCGAACGACGAGTCTTCATCGCCGATAGGACTAATGCTCATGCCGACACGACCGAAACAGCTTGAGGTTTGGAACCTGCCCCGCATGCTGCTCAACATTTGAATGGAAGATAATTGAAAGGATCAAATTTTCGCTATTTCTTGATTCTTCGATATGATTTTTTGAGTTCCTTCAAGGAACAAGATCGGTTTAATGAAGACTGAGTATGCAGTATGGGATTCATAGAAAGGTTTGCTAAGTAGGATGAATCCTATTGTTGGATATGTATGAGAACGTCGTGCAGAACTATGCATCTCCTAATTGTGATTTCTGCAATGAATGAAATTATAGGTCAGTACACAGATTTTCATCAGCATTAAATTGAGGAGCTCACGCTTCTTTTTTCTAATTAAAATCTGCTTAGACTTTATATGCTGTCGCTTTATCAAACTAAAAATATTTGTTCGCCAAGGACTGAATTTTCAAGCTCAACTAGCGGCAAACTATGCTATGGATCGAAATGAAATCGCATTCCTGTTGAAATGAATAATGTTCAAGGGGTCATTCAATTTCAAGCATCCTGAATTTGAAAAATGTATTAACCTTTTCATAATTTTCTAAAAATTTTATTTTGGAGTGTGTCTCATTGGAAAAATATAGCGCAAAATATTCTGCATTCGCTCTGGTTCTTCCCATTATAGAGGCTCCCGAATTTTCGCTCTGGCCATTCCCCATTGCAGATCACTCAGAAGAAATTAATCGATTTCTGCGACACTATTAAAAAAAAAGACATAAACACTATTGCGAGGCCCTGAGTCTAATTCCAAAGCTCATTAAGAGGCTCTTTCCCTTGCATCATCTTTTAATTTTCCATTCAAACGTGCTCACTCATTCCCAAATTCTCAGTATTTTGCAGAATCTGCATGAGGGATTCGTAGGTTCTCTTTCCCTGCTCCAAGTATGGCTGGAGTTCGACCTGGGGAAGGATTCAGTTCTTTTTCATCCTACTAAGTGCATAATTGACGGATGTCTCACTTTTTAAAGCGAAATCGGACTGCTGCACGCCAGAATGGGTCTGTCTTCGAGCCGCAGTTGACTTCTGGATAAGTTATGAGACGAGATGCATCCTTTGTCCTGTGAAGTATTAGTTTAATCAGCAAGACAGCCACAAAAAAATAACGAAAGCTTCTCAAGAATGTAAGGATTCGAGTGGAATTGAAAACGTGCTCCTAGAGAAACGGATACGTATTGTAAAGGACGCAAACTTTTTTTGCTTCACTTGCATTTTTACGTTGAAGATATGACTTTGTTGTAAGCGTAGAAGTTAAAACGTGGACTAGTAGAATAATTTATTTTAAAATCGGGAGTGGATTTCCCAACACTGATGTTCCCTCCAAGTAACCATGACAGTGCTTAGAGTGGCTCACATTTGTTCATTGTTTTCCATAAAAGAAGGCTCCTGACGGGCAGAAAATGATAAGCCATCAGTTATGTCAGTTGAATACGTCTGTGACAATTAGAGATTAATGGATAAATATTGATTCCTCTCGTCTTCAAGAGATTATGATTAAAAAGTAGTTCCTGCACATAGCTGAAAGCCTTTTTTCAGGTGATTGATTTGCAGATCCCAAAGGTCCAAGTAATGATAATGAAGTTGTAATATTATTTAGAAACGATGCACTGCAGCTTTCGCAATTTCCTTGATTAACCACTCTTATCGCTGACTTGGCTCCCCTCCAAGAACTCAGGGAAGATAACATCTCAAGGTCTATGAATTGCCTTCGACGTTCTCACGGTCAATGACGAGTTTCCAAGGCGAAGCTCTCGACATCGTGACCAATGGTTCTGAATTAAAATGTGGTTTAACTCGCAGAGAATGTAAAAGAATTCAAGGAACCCGAGGCGTCATCGCGTTTTCACTGGAATACGCGAAGACAATGTTATAGGTAATAAAAACTTCCACTGTTTTCCTTCCCTTGAGTCTCCATCCTATACTGGACCAAATGTCGCATGCACTTTTAGTCCTTGCACTTTTTCCTTCGTAGGCAAAGTTAATCGTACGGGGGAATGGGGAGAAAGCATGGTGAACAAAATGTACCCTTTGAGTAGGATAATTTGTTCCTCAAGGATATCAGGTAAAGAAAGGGATTCAAGGGTTTGCTGTTATTCTTGGCGTTAGAAATTATGGAATATTTTTATTTATCAATTATTGTAACTAGAAAAAGTTCAGATTCCTTCAGGTCTTTCTGGTCTTCTTCCTGGTGTACACGACTAAATGAAAGCAATTCCAGGCAGATTTTTAAATTCGATTCCTTTTTTCAAAGGGGGGTACATTTCCGTAGGCGATTTCCTATGACTCGAATGTAGATGACAAATCAATCGTGCGTCCCTGTGGACTGTAAATCGAATGCTGAATGAATGTACCGTCCGTGCACTTTTTCTTACTAAATAAATACTTGAAGAAACTCAATGACGCAGAAGAGCTGGGTTTCCCTGGCAGAGCAAAATTTCTGAAGAAATTTGTGCTCTGTCACGTTTTGGAAAATGAGATTCGTGTCTTTATTGTTACTGTCCAGTCCAGATTCGATCATTTGTGGGCCGGGAAGCATGTGAGTGTCGTTCTCATTAAATTACTCGAGTGATAATCAGTTACCTAGCTGGGACACGGTTCGTGAGACGTAGCAATCTCATTCCTATTTTTTCGATCATTGCATGAAAATGAATCCGTGGGGAAAGTTTAATTTCTAGGTATTTTTCTGAGAGAGAAATGGGGCACAACCCTAGCGACTAGGGTCGGACCAAGGGCGCAACACCAGGCGATGTTACCAGAACCCGGTAAGATAACGGTAAGGTGAAAATGCAGGCAAAAAATAAGTATCCGAAGAACCGCAGGGGCAAACTGCATACGTCTCTGCGAATTATATGATATTATTACAGTTTATTATCATTATTTTATAATTACTCCACAGAATAAAAATATAATACCACGAAGTCGATAATGACAGTGATCGTATATTGAACAAGGGAGGAAGCGGTGCACAATTTTTTTTGCACTTTTTACTTATTGAGTCTTATTGTCCATTTAAAATTCGTTGTTTCCCACGTGACGTCACCAAACCACGATGACGTCGGCCACGAAATGAAAAAATCCTTATTACCTCTCCCTGCATTATTTCGCGTGGAGTTTTCTCCACTTAAAGAATTAACGATTAACATTTCCTCGTCTTCAGCACGTGCGATTTCAATGACGTCACCGGACAGCAATGTCACGGATTCCCAGACAGTAGTGTTCAGAATCTGGGTGAGAGATTCCTCGGTTTTCTTTTCTTGGTCCTAGTGCAGCTGCAATTCAAATCCTTCCTGTCCTTAAATCTTTCAGACGTGGCGGGACTGAATTGGTGTTGGAATATTGGTACTGGAATTTGGAATTGGTATTTTTATTGTCAATTCATTGGGGACGGTTGAATGAGGAGAAATTGTTTTTACATCATTAATATTTTTAATTGAGTTCTCGAAGAGCAAGAGCCGCGTGTGCCCATAATTCCATGCTATCTCACTGATGAAACCGAATCAGTGGCGTATTTTGACTGAAAGGTAAAGGGGGGGGGGGCAGCTGCCCCGCTGCCCCCTGTAAAATTAGCAACTGAACCGAACTGATGCAAACATGAATGAGTCTTTACTTGTGAAGCGTTAAAGGCATATCATGAGTTTTAATTCTGATAAACACCTCTCGAACAAAAGAAACGTATCGTAATATTATAGATGGTTTTTCCCGGAAAGTACCAAACTGGGCACGAAATGCGACCGCGAATTGAGGACAGTCCGCGTCGGTCAACTCGTCGATTGTCTCAAAAGTCTGGGGTTTCCAAGGCGACACGCCAAGAATTTCGAAGCGCTTACGAACGATCGTCTACCAACACTGTCGAAGTTTCCTCATCCCGAATGAATTTTAAAGCATTTTTTTTGGCGGTACCA